CCACCTTTTCAGGGGGTCGTTCCATGAAGCAGGATTAAGAAGAATCCTCGCTTATTTGGATTAATCTGGCTCATTTAAGTGGGAGTTTCGTTCCGTCATCGTAGCTTATATGAATCCTTGCTGAGTTACCATGGTAACCTATCCTGGAGAACAAGTATTCTCCGGATCAGGCCAACAAATCTCTCTTTAAACCCCTACAGGTTCCAGTGCCCGAAGGACCTCAGAGTTACAACATTGTGATGGCTTGTGCTGTCCTGCACAATATCGCCACCATATGAAAAGAGAGACTGCCCACAATATTGGTGGAGGAGGAGGGGGAGGACATCCACCCTCTTCAGGAGAGAATGGTTATAAGGACTGTGAGTGATCTTTACAGGGACACATGTTGTAATCAATAGATACTGTGGCAACCATTAGTAATATCCCCCTAACCCTTAATGTATTCTTGAAGAAAACACTTAAAGTCTTTTGTTTAAATGTCTTTAGTTGTCAACCAGAAACAGAAAATCAAAATACAATTCAAACCTTGACCCTTTGCTCTGCGAGTGTATAATTACATCCTTCTCCAGTTTCTCAATCTCCAACTTCGCTTTCTTTATTTGAAACCTTCTGTATTCGATTGTGTGCTTCTTTCTTTAAATTGCAAGGAGCATTTTCCTTTTATAGATGTTCCAGACGTCCTGTGAGAGAGATAATTTGTCACCAAGTAGTGAACTATTGAATTGTTAATAGTGAGTATTTACTGACCTTGCCCCTTGCTAAAGTGAATCTTGCTCTGGTCCCATCCTGCAGTAAGATGTTTGGTTAATAATATGTCATTCTTAAGACTGAAGACTCCTCCACTGTTTTTTATATTTGAGCTTACCTCTGGTGTTTCGGTGTCTGCTGACAATGTTATCTCGTCAATGGCCCCTTGATGTACCAGGGCCATCGAACTGCAAAAAGAGGAACACTGAATTTGTTGAGGTATGAGAATTGTATGATATAAACAATGCTTTTTATTTAAAGAGGACATATCATCCCCCTTTCCCACCTTTTCAAACAGTCTCCCTGTGGTCTAAATGAAACATTTGTGCTGTGCTTTGTTCAAATATAACATGAATCAAGCACCAGAGGAGGTTTGTGACCCTGTATAAACCAGCTCTCTCAGAACGCTCCGTTTTGGTGTGTGTGTCTCTTTAAATGTAATGAGCCCCCCCCTGAGTTTCCCCCGTAGACATCACTCCTCTGTAGTGAGAATAAAAATGGTGGACCTGCCCCAAAGTTTTGTTCTATGCTGGGGGTGGAGTCCATGGGTGGAGATACCAGGGGAGGGGATTTTCTTTACCAGAATCCCTGTGGAGCAAATTTGAAACGGATCATTTTTCTCTGTGTTGTAAGACTTATGCAGACCACAAACAAGAAACTGGATGGGTTTAGTTCACATTTTGTGGGTCGGTACCCAAATATATGTTCAAACACACTGTACAAGTGGATTTTTCATAATATGTCCCCTTTAAACAAAAAAAAATAGAACCTACTTGCAGCATACCATTATGTTTATTAATGATGCAGGTCTATATACATTTGAACCAGAAGAGAATAATGAGTTCACCAGAAGTAAATGTATAATCGTCTGAACACTGATAAGATGATATGTCTGACAGATGGTCTCTGGAGTTTGGACTCTGAGGAGAGATTTTGGTGATCGACAGATGTCTGCTCTGAGCAGCAGCGTGAAGTCCAGACACTGAGGTGGTGGCGGCTGATGACTTGCTGAGACCAGATGGATGATGAATTGATGGCTGATGACTCTGTGACCACTAAGTGCTGACTTTGGCAGTCAGAATCAGCTGATCAGCCATTCGTCACATTCTTCAAACATGTTTTGACAGTCTCTGAGGATTTGCTTACTTCTGGTTTCAGGTTCAAATTGTTGTTTGTTAAAGTTTTTTTTGTTTTTGGGTGGCTGTGGCTCAGTTTGTAGAGTCGGTCATCTCTCAACCCAAAGGTCAAGAATTATATTCTCAGCTCCTGCAGCCACATGTCCAATTTGTCCTTTGGCAAGACACTAACCCCCGAATTGCTCCTGCTGCTTCATCAGCAGCGAATGAATGGGATTAGTTACTTCTGATGGACTCTTTACTCAGCAGCCTCTACCATCAGTGTGTTTATGTGTAGGAAGTTTTTTCTTGCCACTGTAACTTAGCTAAATGTTGGGGCTTTGTAATATAACAATGAGTATAGTGTTTTACTCTTTTATAGTGTATTGAGATAATATTTGTTATGAATTGGCGCTATACTAAGAAAGACTGATGATTGATTTTACAGGGGCATATCACCACCTACCATACGGAGTCAGACATCTTTCTGTCAGTAAATCTAATGGACTAACCGAGATATAACTGTAGCTCATCTTAGCTGTGCATGTTAACGTGACGGACTCTAAATCTAGTCTGTGGAAATCGTACTTCAAGGTGAAACCCCTCCACTAACAACAACCGGCAGAAGCTCATACAGAACTTTAATTCAGTCAATCCTCTTCCTGATGGGGGGAGGGGGGTTACCTTTTAGAGGTCACTTTCGTATTGAGTCTGTTTTCTAAGCAGAAAAAAAAAAAACTCCCCACAGCAGCTTTAAATGTTTAACCAAGCCTGACATGCCGTTGATGTTTCTGAAATGTCAGACTTGGTTAATGTTCACTGCAGCTGTTTATACACCCAGTCTTTCTCAGTTGGTAAATCACACCCTCTGTTTCACTTCCTCGGTTATTAATCCAGTCTAGGATTCCAGGTGGCCTTCCACAGTCATGAATCAGGCGGACAAATGGCAGAGACAGAAATAGACTACAGACATTTCAAAGATCATCAATTATTCTGTGGTGCAGAGCTCTGGCTGCTGTCTGCAGCACAGATACAAACTTGAGATCGAAGGCTTTTCATGAATATGAAGAATGTTTAACTCAAACTATAACTGACAGATACCCACGCCTGACGAGTTCATACAATCACTCTGCTCCCTGACACATTCATTTACAGCAAACTAAATATGAGACTGAACACGAAACACTTTAGAGAGCAGGGGACACCAGGGCTGTGTCCAAAATCACTCAATACGCCATTCTGTAGTGGTGTCAGGACTCTGAGTGAGCATGATCACTTTATGGGGTGGCTGTGGCTCACCCTCCTGCAGCCACATGTCTTATGTGTCCTTGGGTAAGACACTTAACCCCAAGTTGCTCCTGCTGCGGTGTATGAATGTGTGTGAATGGGATTAATTACTTCTGATGGTCTCTCTACACAGCAGTCTCTACCATCAGTGTGTGAATGTGTAGGTGTGACCTGTGGTGTAAAAGTGCTTTGAGGAGTCAGAAGACTAGAAAATAACGATACAAGCTCAAGTCCATTTACTTTTTACACCCTATATAGTGCACTCATTGTATCCCACAATGCATTATGAAAAGTATTGTACAACCGGGTCACTATCCAAGCGATATACTGCATACCGTCATGCATTGTGCTTCAGAGATTTAACGAGCAGAAAGTGGCGTTTAGGGGACTGCTCTCAGAGGGACGAGAGGACCAGCATGAACACAGAAACATGTTAAAGTTCATATTTGGGACATTTTTTACAGAAATCTATGATCTCTTTAATACAGAGTAAAAGATCCCTAGAGGAGTAATGTTGGGCCACATGTTCACAAACACCGAACTTCCATCAGATATGTGTGCATTGTGTGTCCGCTCCGCTCCATGCACCTCAGTGCAAAGCCAGACAGCTGGAGTGCAGAGACAAAGGATTTCCCGTGGTAATTTTACAGATTCACTTGCAAAAGTGCGAGATAATACGATGTGTGTGGTATAAAACTCAATATAAACCTTACAAACACAAACAAACGGTCATTTTTTTTGAACCGTTAAAACGGAGTGTTTTATTTTGAAAATTAACCGGATGTTTTAATGTTGTATCGTTGACGTCTGACTTCCTGTCCTGATTGTTCTTTTCTGTGCTAAATTGATATGTCGGGCACCGGCATCCGGCAAAAGTAGAATCCCTTGCACATCTGCGGAGCTGAGACGCAGCGCAGTGGAGCCGGTGGAAGCACAAATATTGAATAAAGAGAGCCGGAATGGAGCGGAGATGGACCGAACACGCATATGGTGGAAGTTGGCCGTAAGAGTCTTTTTCCGGGAAGAAAAGCGCCGGCTGTGCGTTGGGGAGTGCTTGCATGAAGGGCACTGAGAAGAAAGTGCTGCACGTCCGTCCTGTCTCTCTGATAACAGTCTGTTGTCAACGGCTGCTTTATGACCGGAAATGCTCTGTTACTGTTCACTGAATGTTGTTTTTATTTGAGATTGTTTATTTCCCGATCAGACGCGGAGCGAGGAGGATGTGTGTACAAGACATGATCCGCAAAAATACAGGTAATATCTTATATTTGGAAAAGAGCGCTTGTGACATCGACAGCGCCTTTCTGAAAAGTTGAAAGATTTTCAACTTGAGCACTCTCTCCTAATTGAAAACAACTGAATAAAGATGTTACGCGCTAAGAAAAAAACATGCTAGGTGGACACGCGGCATCATGATGACAGACACGAGACCAGAGTCTGTAAGCATCAAATAAAGGAGATTTGATGAGTGATCATTTTTTCTGTTTTGTGAAAATGAACTAAGTGTAATAAAACTTATCCTTAAAATATATATTTGTGCTGAATCAATGTACTATACTGTATATATGGAGGAGGGAATGAGTTTGTGATTTTGGACTTATCCCTGGGCTCTGTGTTTGTTGTGTTAACAAAGCACTGATGTCCAGAAAGATGAGATGTTAAAGCTGCTGCTTCATGTCAAACTAAGAAACATTCAAACACGTGACAGAGGCTTAGGGCCGGACGTGTAGAAGAACGATTACAGGAGTAAGCTGAGACAAAAAAATACAGCTGCAAAGAAATAATGTTTACGCAGCTGTGCATCATGATTGCAAAGTGTGGATGGGTTTAGTCAAACATAACTTACAATCATCATTTTGCAGCAGCTGGGAGAATCTTTTTACTTGAAAACATCTTGGTACAAACTCCATTCAACATCTGTACAGCGAAGAGGAAAGTCATTAAAAACATGTTTCAACAAAGACAGAAAAAAATACCTTCTGATTTGAAAAAGTCATTTTGGAATACATTTGTATTCTTCATCACAACTTCAAAACTCTTGGACAGCTGCACGGTAGCTTTGTTTAGTCTGTTTTGACGGGCTTGCCTTATACATCAGTTGTCCTGTTGTTTGATCACGTTCAGCATTTTTGCTGTAATGCATCACAGAAAGCAACAAGCATACAACATGGTAAAATCAGCAATTATATAATGAAATTCTAGTTTCCACATATTCTTGGTGAAATATTTTAGCAATTTGTTTATTTGTTAGATGGTGGTACAAAAGGTCTAAAAGTGTCATTGTAGCTCTACAGCCTACCTGTAGAACATTCCCATGAACGGAAAGACCACTTTGTTTGGTGCGAGACTAAGCAGCAGGATGTGGCACGACTCTAGAGCGAAGGTTTGATAGTGTTGACTCAGCTTCTCCACCACCTTCAAGACCCTGTTGTTGTTCATGCGTTTCCCCACTTGATGTAGAGCCACTGACCCTAGAGTAAAAACACAAAAAAGACATGATATTCATAAAACTATACATTAGCCATTCATAATGTATAAATATGTAACATGAGGCCTGTTTGCATACCTGGTTAGAACCACTTCTTTGGATTCCTTGTCACTTTCTTGGGATGAGTTGTCATGCTCATGCACATCCTGAATGTGGTTGAACATGGATGTGAACTTGGCCACCTTCTCTGGTCCTGATGTAGAAGTTGCACTCCAGTAAATGTGGTTCTTGATGGGATGGAGCCACTTATACAGCACCTGACAGTCTTTGTTTTGTGTGTCCAATTTCTTTGACAGTCCTGATAGCAGAGATACAAACAATACATTAATATTCAAGATGTAGTTTGAGGAAAGCATATTTAAGTGACAGTAAAGTGTTACAGTTGTAGAAAAACAAAGGAGGTGGAAAATGTAACAACTAATATACAACGTAGACCGACAAACTACAACCAACAACTTACAATGAACTCACAACACGAGAGAAGGAGCACAGAGACTAAATAGACACAGGGGTAATCAGACACAGGTGAGACTAATAACACAGGTGAAGACAATGAGGGTAATCAACATGGAGGGAAACACACAGACAGGATTTAAGACAAGAAACACTGAGGACAACTACAAAATAACTTAATAACATTAAATAGATAATGTAATGTTGGTACACAATCCTGTCCTGCCAGACTCACGGTTTAGTTGTCTGTTTGTGACCTACGATGTTCTCTAAATATATAAATATAATCTCTGGTTTACTTTGATCTCAGCACATGGATGGAATATAAATCTCACATTGTCCGTCTGCTCATTTAGATATTCTACTTGATTTAAGTGTGACACAAGGTGTGGAGATAGAGGAGGACATCCCAAGGACACAGGCCAGCTCATGAATCACGAGCACACAGACACTGAGGAGCTGTGGACACCAAAGATAGAAGAGATAAGAGAAGCTGGGGGATACCCCCTCTATAAAACAGTGATGAAATTATTTAAATCTGCATGTAATCCGTCCATGGTGCTTCTTCACTCTCCAGCAACAGAAGATGAAATCCTGCAGTCCCTGATGGATGTTGCATGTCTGAAGGACAACACTTAATGAGGCGGGAGCCTCTTTGAAGACCTTAGTCTGCATTCCTGCTTTCATTTTCAGCTCATTTATTTTGAAAAAGGAAGTCAGGGTCCAGCTCTTCTATCAACTAACCATTGGCCATCAGTTCTCCTGCAGCACCAAGGAGACAGCGGTGTTGGAAAACAATGACATCAGCTCATTGACATATTGGACTGCAGTTTTAAGTTATGACAGTAACCTCAAGCAGTCTCTTTTTAATCTTTTATCTTGTGAGGATAATATTAGATCCCAGATAGAAATATTTTGTTCTAAAAATGTGTTAACGGGAATGTTCTCTTAATGATTTCAGCAGGAAGTTTCCTTTAACTTCCCAGAATGTTCTAATAACGATCGCAGCTGTCTTTAGCGAGTTGCAAGTAGATCATGCAGGCACAGGAAGTCCATGTAAACTCCTGACTCCCCTGATTTGAACCAGAAACCAATTTATCAGGGAACACTGCACCACCGTGCAAAACCTGTTCTGAAAATGTTAGCATCCTCAGAATGGTGCAGGCAATCAATTCTTGCTTCTGTTTACATATCACATTACAGGAACGATCTCAGAAAACGTTTTGTGATCTGAGGCCTTAAAGGTCACATTCTATGTAAAATACACTTCACCATGTTTCTCTAACTCTTATATGTGTCTCTAGTCTCTCTACAAACCCCCCAATGATGAGAAAAGTCCATCCTCTCAGTCTTCTGCCTGCTCCACTTTTCAGAAAATGTGTGCTCAAACAGGCCGGTTAGAGATTTTCCCTTCATGACATCACAAAGGGCAGTAACCCCTCCCCCAGGTGGGTGACACTCCCACAGCTAGGTGTTTGTTCTGCCCTCTGAGTCTGCCTTCTCACTGTAAACAATAGGACATGGAGCAAGAAAGCCTGAGTACACCCAAGCCCTTCCAGAGAGGGGGCGTGGTCAGACACAGCTCATTTACATATTTAAAGGTACAGACACAGAAACAGCCTGTTCTGAGCAGGGCTGAAATAGAGGTGTTTATAGACATGATCAAATACAGGATCAGAGTGGATTTAGAACAAGAAACTTCACAGACATGTTTTGAGGGGCTCTGAGACTTATCTAAACTGGTTGGAAAGGAGGATAAGATGTGAATTTTTAATAACATCCTGAACATATTTTCAAAATGTTGCTTTGACAACTTTATTCCTTTGTTAACCTGTAACATTGTGCCCTTTTTTAAAGAGAAACAAAATTTCTGTGGGATTTTTGTGCACAGGTAAAGTGGTGGTTTGGGGTAATTCGCACTGACACTACCAAAGGCCCAAAAGGAGTATGGGTCCCTTATAGGGCCTGACATAAATCTGTAGACTTTGTTTGGATTTGTCCAAACTTCAGAGTAAAGGTCAAATATGCCATGCCATATGACCAAAAGTTGCAACAAATTCTTGCAAACGGTCTTAACAAATATATTGGGAACATGAGATTTGTGAGGCACACATTTTTGACAGCTTCTCTTAACGCCATAATCATCAGGTTCATGAATCTGCCTTCGATATTTTCTTTTCTTTTAGAAAACATGACATATGGAGATATTGGTGAATGAGTCCATGTGATTTGTACAATTTACAAGAGGAATTTCTTCAACTCTTTGGTACTTTTGGGGAAGCCAAGTCCGACATATTGTAGTCTTCTGCTCAATGAAGTTAGGAGACGTTATTCAGCGTGCATTGGGGGTTTATTTCCAAACTTAAAACAGACTACTGTAGGCAGTAGCCAACACCAAAAATAACAAGTCTCCTAGTCACAACACACACAACCCGCGCAGTCCCACCTTTCCTCAAGCTCTCGACCAATCACCCACTTGACAACCTGCATAGACACTGCCATAGGCACTAGAAATAAAAAGAACACTGCTGTCAATCTAACACATTCACTGACATTAAGGAGAACTCAGTAACAGCCATAACAGTCGTTATCTTAACTGACAAAACATGAAATCTGATCCGTTACAATATAAAGAACACCATGTCCAGCCATGACTTTCTTTCCTTGTTTACAGTCAAACATTTTGAGAGTGTATTGTAAGCTGCACTTGCAGGCAGATCTCTTTTAATTCTGTTTTTTTATCTAAAGCGTTGTCTGGCCGTTGCTGATAATAGGAATCGGCATTTGCTGTTTATAGCCGAAGCTGCTGAATGGCCTTCAGATGATTCCACTACAAATGGAAACCACAACACTCACAGTTCGCAAAAACGTTATAATTTTCCTCGATTTCATGTGACGAGAGCAAACTCACATTTCCTTATATGCCTATAATGTTTCAAGCTGCCGTTGTTTTATTTCCAACTGTAAGAGAGAAGGTCCATGTCCACACATATAACTGACCTTTTTCTAATTCTATTTTTTCTAATTCTATTTTCAGCATATGTTCCCTTTCATATATTCAAATCCTTGTGATTCCCAAGGCTCCTACCTCAGGGGGTCTCCTTTTGAAAACAGCAATGACGCACTGGTAATATTAAAACCCAGTGACTCATACTTCATTGTTATTCTCACTTCTATAAAAAACACCACACAGCCACAACGGACCCTGCAGTTGATCATTTCTTGGATTAACTAGGAAGGATACCTGTGGGCTGAAATAGGCCTCTGAACAGAGTGATGGCCTTTATTTGAACTTTGACATGTCGGAGTCACTGGGTCAAGATAATAACAAGACATTTATTTTCAGGTGTTCCATGTGAAAAACTGATTTTGACTATAGTCATGAACACTGTTTGTATTGTGATTCGGTTTGAGCATCATTCTAGCCTATAGACCAAAATCCTCCAGTTTCATTTCTGGCTGCTGGTGTTGAGCATGCCGTCCTCCAACTGTCAGTCACCCGGCTAGCCACCAACCTGCACTCAGTCACCATGTTCCAGCATGGTAACCTCAAGTCTTCACCTTTGGTGGGTCCAAATGACACCAATTTCAGCTTAGGGCACAGTTTTAAAACCTGAAAAACAGTTGACCGCCATTGTCCATAATCTTGATGAGTCCCCAGAAGAGCTTCATTGATAATCAGTCCTGACTGCTATTCTGACACACAGCCTGACCCTCACTGCTGTGCACCAGTTGCCAGCCTCATGTCCTCCTTAATGCTCTTTATGCTGGACCTCTGCTCAATTCTACAGTGGTCAATAACCTCTGTGTCCTGCACTGACCTGGGTCCAGCCTAAGTCACCAGCCTCCTAAGGGGCACGGCCCATCCTTCCCATCATTTAGAGCAGTTGAACCAATCATTTTAAGAGGTGCTGTTCCCATGTGCTGTCACACTATGGTACTGTCATTGCCACAGCCATGCCTCAAACATACCCTTGATTCCCCCTTCTCCATGTTTCATGCTCCCCTGTTAATTCTGTGTTTGTGTCGTGGCCTTGCCGCTCCCTTTTTCAGACCGACCCTATTGGTGCTGCTGGCTTACATCTGTTCCTTGCGCACTCCCTTGTCATCCATCAGCTCATTACCCTTACAGCATTTCAACCGCTGCTCTCCCCAAACTCATTACCAAATCATATCTTTACAACTTTTTGTAACTTAACTAAGGCCTCTAGCTGTAGACTTGTTTTAAAAAGTGTTGCAAACCTTGTTATTCATTTTATTCCTGTTTGCTTGTCTGTCGGCCTGTTTCTCCACCAACTATCTGTGCACTCTCTCACTTGTACCTCCATTCCTACCTGGCCTAGATGGCCGTCTCCCATTCCCAACCTCTGCCAACCATCATATCCGTTCCACTCATCCATGAGTGTTATAGTTTTAAAATACAGCCTAATAAACTTTGCAAAGTGATTATTCCTGTGAGAATGACACAAGAAATTCAGACCTTTTTTAATAAAGGAATCAGGTTATGGTTACTTTTTTAATTTAAACTTCTATTTCTTGCTCCTATCTGGCCCCCCCACACACCTCCCCCCCTGGCCCCCACCCCTCCCTCCATGTTTTCCATTCATCTCAGTAATGAGGACAGATACTGTAGGATGTGGAAATGCACCAGCGAGCTCCATAGAAAATGTATTAGCAGCTGTGATGTTGGCGTTGGCTAACCAAAACTGTGATTTCTTAAACACTGTTCTTCATGGTGAGATGTCAAATGGATGTGTCATGCTTGATAGAAAAAAAAAACTTCCACTCAGTTTCCTGTCCCTCTGGTTTCCAGCTATCAGCTGTGTGTATATGTGCTTGAGTCACCGAGCCATCTGCATTGGTATTTACACACACAAAACCCACAAGTATTTAGTCACATCTGGAATTGGTAAAAGGTAAATGGACTTGAGCTTGGATAG